TCACATGTTCTCTGGTAAACTTGGTGCCGTGAACAATAAAGGCATGAGAGCTTTATTTGCAGATCTTAAGAGCTTACTATCAGAAATAGAGATTTCGTATATGTCTACAGACCACTATAAATCCAACAAAGGGACGCAAACTGATAAATTAGTTCAGCAAGGTGTTAGTGAAATCGTTTCGGATGTAAAATTATCAAATGATGACTTTTTTCGAAAACAAGAAAAGTAAACTTCTATATATAATGCATCAAAACATATGTGGTGCGCTAGGTAAAATGGATAATATTGAGATCATATTGGAGGATTTTTCAAGTGAAGGAAACTGTATTGACGTTATTTGTCTAACTGAACATTTTGTAAAGAATGGACATGAAACCAATTTAGTATGCAATAACTACAATCTAGCTGCCATATACTGCAGAAAAAATGCAAGAGGAGGTGCATGTATTATGACTCGAAGAGGACTTAATTACCGAGAATTACCTGAAATTACAAGAAACTCTCTCAGTACTGTATTTGAATGTTGTGCTATTGAACTTGTGTCTTTTAATGTTATAATTATTTGTTTATACAGAACTCCTAATTATAGTAATATCTCTATCTTTTTCGAAAAACTTGAAACTTTGTTGGATAGGGTTAGCAAATATAGAACTAAGAAAACTATAATATGTGGTGATTTTAATATTGATGTTTTAAAAAATTGCATGACAACTAATGTATTTATTAATCTTTTGTCGAGTCATAACTTTAAAATTGAATTCATGGATGCGACTAGATTACAAAGTGGAACGTGTATCGATAATATCATTCATAACTGCCGTGGGTGTAAAAGCAAAATTTTACATTTAGGATTATCCGACCACACTGCTCAAGTGTTGCAATATCCTATCTCAATAAATTACTCCTGCTTGCGATACTGGTTTATCAAAAGACGTGACTATAGTATTGAAAATCTAACCAAATTTAGAGAATGCCTGCAAAGCTTATCCTTTTATGATATTTATCAAAGCAATGATGTAAACGAAGCGTACAATTTGTTTTATGAATTGATTAAACTCTTTTATGACTTATGCTTCCCGTTCAACCTAGTTAAAGTTTCAGCTCAGCGGAAGCCATTTTGGATTACAAGTGGTATCAAAACATCGTGTAAACGCAAAAGGAAAATGTACTTTCAATTAAAATCTAAAAACGATAAACTTAAATATAATGCATATACAGCACTTTTAAAAAAAGTTATTAATAAATCACAACGCATTCAAAACTTTAATTACATCAACAAGTCTAAAAATATAACAAGATCTACGTGGAAGATAATAAATTCAAATAATTTCACAAAGCCAAAAGAAATTTTGAAGAGTGTAACTTATAAAGGGAAAACGATTACTAAACCAGGTGATATTGCAGAAGCTTTTAATGATACATTTATGAATCCTGTACAGAACTGCAAACCAATAAATTACAGAAATAACATTGAACGTATATCAAATTCATTGTTTATGAATCCAACAACGCCCGATCTAATAGTTAAAATAATTAATAGCTTAAAAAATAAAACAAGTGTTGGTCACGATGAAATAACCACTAGAGTAATAAAATTTTGTAATTTTCAGTTTGCTCGGCCGCTTTGTCACATTATCAACTTAACTATAAATAATGGGATTTACCCTGATAAGCTAAAAATATCAGTAATTAAACCTATTTTCAAGAAAGGGGATAAAGAAGATTGTAGAAATTATCGCCCAATTGCTCTGGTTTCTGTCATTTCCAAAATTTTTGAGAAAATCATATATACAAGCATATATAATTATTGCGAAGGATTCAATTTATTAGCAGACGAGCAATACGGATTTAGAAAGGATAGATCTACGAATCTAGCCATATATCACATGATAAAAGTTGTATCGGAATGCCTCGACGATCGCGTTCCAGTAACTGCTATTTTTATGGATATGTCAAAAGCTTTTGATTACGTAAATCATGAAAAGCTTCTGCAAAAGTTATATATGTATGGTATCAGAGGACCTATATTTGGTCTTGTATCGTCATATTTAAATAACCGATTTCAATGCACAGAAATCTCTTATGTTAATGAGGAAAATCGATCTGAAGTACGCAGCAGGTACGATCTCAGTCGCAGCTTGTAAAGTGTGGTGTACCCCAAGGAAGTATACTTGGGCCGCTTCTTTTTCTATTGTACATCAATGACCTACCTAGACATGTGCATCATGAAATGATCCTTTTCGCAGACGATTCTACTGTTATGATAAAAAATAACAGCAATAAACCATACGAATGTGTTATTGCTGAAGCTTTGTCTGATATTATCAATTGGATGAAAGCTAATGATCTCGTCATAAACCTAGATAAGACAAAATATATGCAGTTTTATCTTTCCCAAAACCGGAAACAAGAGACTGTTGTTGTTAAGTATGAGGGGCATTTGATTGAGCGAGTAAAACAAATACGTTTTCTTGGTGTGTTGGTTGATGAATGTGTAAGCTGGAAACCGCATACCGAATATCTTACAAGTAAAATTAGTAAATTTGTTTATCCTCTAAGAAAATTAACACAAACTGTCTCACAAAAAGCTGCACTTACTGCTTATCATGGATACGTTGCCACCAACTTGAGATATGGTATCATACATTGGGGAGGCGCGGCTGATGTTAACCTGTTGCCATTGTTTAGTATGCAAAAAAAGTGTCTCAGAGCAATGTTTGGTGCCAAACAAACAGACAGTTGCAGACCTCTGTTTGTAAAATTAAGAATCCTAAATCTGCCCTCATTATACATATACCAAGCCTGCTTATTCGTCAAAAGTAATTTACATTATTTTAACTCGCACATTGCTAAGCATCCGAGGCAAACAAAGAATAATGTTACTATTATACCGTTTCACACATCTAGGACAGCCTTTTTTTCAAAAAGTTTTTATGCATTAGGACCAAAAATATATAATCATTTACCTGACAAATTAAAGGATTTAGAAATAAAAAAATTTAAGCATAAATTATTAGAATTATTGATTGAAAGATGTTTTTACTCCTTAAAAGATTATTTGAGCTACAAACTTACATTCTAAATTAATTGACATTTGAAATATTTTCTGAATTATGTTTTAAGCAAAGAATATTAAAATCACTACGTTTTAGTTATAAGCTTACATGTATTTTGACATATCAATATTCCATTCATTGACTTAGCTTATACTGGCATAATTCTATTGTTCTTTTGACATTATTATTTATTTTCCACGTTTGTTGATATATTTCATTGTATGACATTATGCTTTATTATCCGTGTTATTTGATTTTATTTAATGAATAATGAGATAATGTTTTAAGTTCCATAATTTTAATAATATTGTAAGCCTTATCTAGGCAGGTTGTGGTGATACTTAATTACTTTTATAGTGTCAAATCTTTTAAACCTACAACTAATACAATAAATGACTTATTCTATTCTATTCTATTCTATTATTATTATATCGAAAAGCATTTCAAACTTAGGTATCTTCAACAACATTATCGATATTTTGATATCGAAACGGTAACATTCCTAAAACGAGGTTATATTTATTAGCGTCACCTACTGGGGAATAGATAAAATGTTGTCTTAGTAAATGCTTAGCGTTGTTTTACTATTTTTAGCTAGAGGGTGCCACACGCGCACTAGCTCAAAGTTTTTGTATATAAATGTTCTCAATGTCCGCTCTATATATTTAAATCTCTCTGTGGTAGAGCCATGCTGCAGCTATATTATTAGTAGTACAGTTGTAGCACGAATGGGACGGTTAGACAGCGGAAGGACATCGCTCTCACAGAATACCAGCGTAAAATAGCAGGTTTAACACTGATGTGTTTCGTATGGTGAGTGTAGAGAACCAGAGACCCTTTTTACTAGAAAAGAGTCATTCTATCTTAGTCCTCACGGGTGACAACGCATCTGCATTTTGATTCTTTATTGAGGATAGATGTAGATGTCTATGGGTAACAGCAACCACTTACTTTTGATTATACAATTTTAAATGAAAATTCATTTAAAATTGTATAATCAAAATTATTGTTAAGTGAAATTATGTTTAAAAAAAAAGTCCCGCTGGGTTTCTTGCTGGTTCTTCCCAGGACAGAGGTATTTTCCGAACCAGTGGTAAATAAAATAATGACTTTCAATAAGTATTATGTAATAATCCATATTGAATAAAAATCATTCTATTCTATTCATTCTATTTCTATTCTTACCATCAGGTGGAATGTGTGCTTGTTTGTCACCCTATCCAAAAAAAAAATATCCTGTATTGCCATCGCCAATCAACTACTAATAGTAATGCTCCACATTGGTCCTAACAGCAAAACATTGCAGCAGTAATGCTTCATAATGGCCATAACAGCAAAACATTGCAGCAGTAATGCTCCATAATGGCCATAACAGCAAAACATTGCAGTAGTAATGCTCCACATTGGCCATAACAGCAAAACATTTGCAGTAGTAATGCTCCACATTGGGCATAACAACAAAACATTGCGGTAGTAATCCTCCAAATTGTCCATAACTGAAAAACATTGCAGTAGTAATCCTCTAAATTGTCCATAACTGAAAAACAATGCAGTAGTAATCCTCCAAATTGTGCATAACTGAAAAACATTGCAGTAGTAATCCTCCAAAATGGCCATAACGGAAAAACATTGCAGTACTAATGCTCAGCATTGGCCATAACTGCAAATCATTGCAGCTATGGCCAATGTTGAGCATTACAGCTACTATTACTATATCTGGTTTGTCTATGGGTAGGGTACAATGAATAAGAAAAAAAAGAGTCTTATATTGCATTATGCTTTCGGACGCATTTTATTCTATAAGACACAGGTTTGTAAAATCTAGTTATAAGAATCGATGGTGATGAGGATGGAGTAGGGTCAATGCTTACATTTGGGGCTGCAGAGTCGCAGACCTGCCTGTCGCCAGGGTGCTCAATATGTGCTGAAAGCGTGGGCGTCGCCATGCGGGAAATTTCCTCGCTACTGGACGCGTTCTATGCTGTCATCGCTCTGTACCCGTCCAGCTCCGCCGCGGAGGCTGACCAGCCGTGCCTTGCGCAACCGCGCCTGAAGAATAGGATTCGAGTGAGTGTGCCTACATCTTACCGAATAATACTACTCTCTATCACATTACACCATGGTACACCATGTTACCACGTATCATATCACATCATATACATCATATACTACTATACGCTACGCTATGCTGCATTACAAACCAGACCACACTACGTCACGCCACACAACAGCGCACTACGACCCTAAGCTACAGAAGTATCATCTTACACTATGATGTATATATATGGTTATATCTTATGTTATATCATATTACGTCATACCACCTCACAGTAATAAACAACGACATTAAATTATGTCATGTACTCCAACTACACAAGTTTACACTATATTACTCAAGTCTACACCACACGATGCTCTACGAAACAAAAAAGCAACATAATATGACACTGAACACTACACCACCACCATCTATATCATTTCTAAGACACTACACTGTATTAAGACGTACGTGACCACCCGATAATACATTACTTTGGGAGTTTTGACGGGAACTTGACCGCTGGCGGATTGCTGCTCGAATTGTATATAATTGTTTAAATAATGGTGCTTCAGATTTTGATACGTAAAACGTTGCGATTTTGTGTATTAAATGCCTGCACACGTGAACTATTAGTGGAAACGATGAAACAAGTACGATACAAGTAAGTGATGTGAACGTCAATGTAATGTGTCTGTTAGACGCTTGAGATACTATCGTCATCGACTGTCTGCTGACTCGAGCTACCTTTAAAATCTGCCAAAAATTTCACAATGTTTTTAAACAAATGATTGTAATAAGATAATTTCATAATACTTGACACCGACAAAAGTATAACGGTACAAGTCCGTTACCAAAGAGAATACAGCACTTACACTGTATTCTGTATGTAGTTTTTGTTCTGTGTGCTGTGTGTAACAAGATGTGGTGCATGTGCAGGCGATGTGCCTGTGGTACAACACGGCGCTGCACATGCGGCTGAAGATGGTGTCGCTGCGGCGCATGCTGCGCAGCTCGCGCGCCGCCGCTCGCAGCGCAGCGTCGCAGCGCGCGGGGTACGTGCACACGCACGCACACGCACGCACACACGCACGTACACGCACTCACACGGCGACCTCGGATACCTGTTAAATTACAACCGTCGATTAGTCATACACTAAAAACGGTATTATAGACCTAATAGACCATGATTAGGAATGAAGGGCTAATCCCAAGAATGTGTCATATAAACACAGAAGCGCAAATACATCATCATTCATCATTACAGCCCTTCACAAGTCCACTGCTGAACATAGGCCTCCCCCAAAGAATGCCACAAAGCACGGTCCTGAGCCACCTGCATCCATCGACTTCCTGCATGTCTTACCAGGTCGTCACTCCATCTCGTCCCCCCTACATTTCGCCTACCGGTACGAGGCCGCCACTCGAGAACCTTTCTTCCCCATCGGTTGTCGGTTCTTCGAGCTATATGGCCGGTCCACTGCCACTTCAGCTTACTAATCCGTTGGGCTATGTCGGTTACTCTGGTTCTACTGCGGATATCCTCATTCCTAAGTTTATCACGCAGAGAAACTCCGGGCATAGCCCTCTGCATAGCTCGCTGAGCGACCTTGAGCTTTCTCATACGGCCAGCAGTGAAGGACCACGTCTCAGTTCCGTAAGTCATCACTGGCAACACGCACTGGTTGTACAATTTCGTTTTAAGGTATGTCTGACGATAAGATGTGTCGTATCTTCCCGAACGCTGCCCAGCCGAGTTGAATCCGTCGATTGACCTCTCGGTCGAAGTTGGACTTACCTAGTCGGACTATTTGTCCCAGGTAAACATACTCGTCAACAACTTCGAGCTTAGTGTTCCCAACAACTACCGCCATAGGTGTGACATGGACATTAAACATGATCTTTGTTTTGTCCATGTTCATCTTAAGACCTATCCGTTGGGAAACACTATTGAGGCCATTGAGCATAGTGCTTAGGTCCTGCAGCGATTCTGCCATAAGGACTATATCGTCGGCAAATCGAAGGTGAGTGATGTACTCGCCATTGATGTTGATACCGTATCCTTTCCAGTCCAGAAGCTTGAAAACGTCTTCCAATGCAGCGGTGAAGAGTTTCGGGGATATGACGTCACCCTGTCTTACACCTCTGCAATTGGATAGGTTTCGTACTCTGGTTCTGTACTCGGATAGCCGTCGTAGCCCTACTGTACAAGCACTTCAACACTTCCATATACCGACAGTCAACTTGGCACCGCTGAAGGGACTGCAGCACCGCCCAAATTTCGACGAAATCAAAGGCTTTCTCATAGTCCACATACGCCAAACATAGTGGCAAATTGTACTCTTCGGACTTCTGTACAATTTGCCGAAGGGTATGTATGTGGTCTATGGTGCTAAAGCCCTTTCGGAAACCGGCTTGTTCAGGAGGCTGGAAGTCGTCAAGTCTGCGAGCGAGACGATTCGTAATGACTCTCGAAAACAGCACGTAGACGCGGCTCAGAAGGGAAATCGGTCTGTAGTTCTTCAAGAGAGCGTTGTCACCTTTCTTGAAGAACAAGACCACCGCACTTCTGCTCCACGCCTCCGGTGTAATGCCACCATGGAGGACGGAATTAAAGAGCTTCTGAAGGACTTCAAGTACCGGTTTTCCACCCGCTTTCAGAAGCTCCGCTGTAATTCCATCCTCGCCTGGGGCCTTACCGTTTTTAAGGTGCTGGAGAGCCATTCTAATCTCGCTCAGACTGACGTCCGGGATACGAGTATCTTCGGAATAGTGTCGGATGAGACTCGCTCTTGGATCGTTACTCACACTTGCGTGTGGCTCCAACGATGACGTGTACAACTGCCCATAGAACCTCTCAATCTCACTCAAAATCTCAGGTGTCCCGGAAACGATGCTGCCACATTCTGTCTTCAGCTTTGACAGTTGGCTCTTTCTGGCAGACAGATCTCTGGCAAAGACTTTGGAGCCTTGGTTCCGCTCGATCGCTTCTTCAATACGAGCTGTATTGAAGTTGCGTAAGTCCCGCCGCATGCATTTGGAGATCTGTCTGTTCAGATGCCTGTATGCTGTCAAGTCTGTTGAAGAATGTAGCTTCATCTCCAGTCTAACAGCCATGAGATTAAGAGTGTGATCGGAGAGTTTTTGTGTTCTTCTGCGGCGGGTCTTGCAGAACTTAGCTCCGACCGCATGGACAGTTTCCACGAGCTTGTTATTCATATCGTCCACTTCATTGCAGTCTTCTAGGCACTGAAAACGGTTTTGTAACTCGAGCTGAAAGGTTTCGGGACTTTGGAACAAAGCACGAGGGGGACGGAGCGTTGACTTCATTAGACGAGACCTCTCCAACTTAATTTAGGTTCAGTGTGCCTCTAACCATTCGGTGATCGCTACCAGTTTTCACCCTCGCGCTCACGGAGACATCACTGAACAGTTGTCGTCTGGTTGTCATAATGAAGTCAATCTCATTTTTTGTCGAACCGTCGGGGCTCGACCAGGTCCACTTCCTGTGGGGCCGCTTCTGGAAGAAAGAGTTCATCATAAAGAGTCCCTCTTTCTCCATGAAGTCGGCCAGCTGCTGGCTCCTTGGGTTCCGTTGCCCTATTCCAAATTTCCCTACTTTCAGCTCACCGTTCTCTCTTGTGCCTAGTTTTGCATTGAAGTCTCCCATTAACACCGTATATTGGGTTTTGGAGGAATGCATGGCTCTAGAGATATCCTCATACATTTTCTCCACCTCCTCATCGGGGTGTGCCGAGGTTGGTGCGTAAACCTCTATGACCTTCAGCGAATACCGTTTGGTGATTCTGAGTATAAGGTACGCAACCCTCGTCGACACACTCCCGATCTTTACAACGTTGTTAACGAGAGACTTGTGGACGATTAGAGCAAGTTGCCGGATTCGAAGATTACCGTGTCCTCCCCCTCTCTTCGGACTTCGGATAATCCTATAATATGCCAGCGCAACTTGTCTATCCCTTCTTCCAGCTCCACAATCTTCTCGTCAGTCCTCAGGGTGCGTGCGTTGTACGTTGCCAGGTCGAGTCGTCATAGGTGGCAACCGAACCTCCACCGGAGATTCTTAGCACCCCCTACCCCGCCGTTACCATGGTCGCCACCGTAGCCAGGAATAGCGGGGCCGCCGAGGACTGGGGGCCGTCTCTTTGTTGCTCTGATTGCTTGGCGAGCGGGTTGGCAACCGCAGTTTTTTATTGTACTTTTGCTGTTATCAGGAAGATGCTGCTGCCCATCTCCTGCCTGTTTCCCTTTGTCGCCTTTTACGACACCCACGGGAGGATGTGGGGTAGTGGATATTCTTGACCGCCACTACACGGCATACAGAAAATTACATACAGCGCAATTACATACAGCGCAAATACAGAAAAAGTCAATTAAAGCTATGCAAAGGGAAAATTCACACAAAGTAGAATTGAATTTTACTATAGGAAGCCAATTTTAAAACTGAAAAGAAACATAATTCAATTCTTAATATAGTGCGGATTTTAGGGATAGAAATAAGATTTATACAGTCACTGAAATTTGATTGTGTACTGTGACTAAGACTTTCTAATATTAGCTTTAACTTACGAGATATTAAATTAAAATAAATTTTGTCAAATACATCATAAACAACAGAAACAAGCGAAAGACACGGATGTTTATCTAAATAGGACTCAAACTATATGCTACAACTACAACTACTATGCATCAATTACAATCGCTCTTTTGAAACTCGAGCTTTGTACGCGCTCTTAACATTGCATACAAAGTGTACAGCTTTATCAATTATGGTAAATGGTGCAAATTGTAATTCAAAAATATTCGTCTTTTAAATTATCGTTTACAATCTTCATCATTAGCTGAAGTTTATCTAAAAGTTCATCTCAACGTTAAAACTAATCTGTTGTTAAAATATAAAAAATGGTCGCCTTACTTATTTTATTTTATATATTATATATATTATATATATATTATTATATAATTGTCCAATTACTTCCAAAATCGAAATCTTACAGATCTATTACATACATGCAATAGATCTTTGTAAATCAAATAATCAGCATAGAAAAATGGCTTTTTTTATATTGTATATAATAATTTGCACTTACGATTGTTGTCACTGCAACAACGACCTAAAAATTACTCGGATCGGTTTATATATATGTATCAAAAAAAGAATGTCATAAAAGGTGAAGAAGATGAAATTATGAATAATAAAGAAAGAATTTCAAAATTAATATAGCATTGCCACAAGCAATGCTATATTAATTTTGAAATTCTTTCTTAATGGTTCAATGGTTTTCTTAGTCGATATGCATAGATAACGCGGATCCTAGATATTGCTTTAGAAAACGAAAGATCAAGAAACTAGTAAATGTTAAAATGGCAGCTATTTTTGAATTCTGACAATAAATATATACTCGCCGATCAAAATATTTGACATTGGCGAATACACCTATTTACGAGTCCAAAACAAAAAAGTTAATATAATAGTATTTGCTCTTGATATTCACTAGCAGTAAATCGTCTGAGAATCACCGGGCGAGCCAAGTGCGCTTCGATCTCAGTAGCACTCCTACAGACTCCACCAGCAGCGATGCAAGTGTGCACTCAGATACTGCCAGGCCTGCGGACATCAGGTCTGCAGACACCAGTCCTGCGAACAAGAACCATAGTCCCATTGACGGCCTGCCTCTGGAAGAAAAACAAGAGCCAACCGACGTCGTGGACGGAAAGGAGACAGCGAAAGACGGCAGTGATAAACATAATAAGTGTGAAGAAGAACACAACAATTGCCAAGAACGAGAGGATGTGGTGGACAGTGGAATCGATAGTAGATCTGGTAAGGAAGCTCATTTGATAGTTTTAATACAGTATTCTTTTAAAATAAATCATTATATAATACATGTAATATAAATCTCTATCTGAACTTGATTCCACACAAGCTTGGGCCCGGCGTGAACAAAGTTCAAATATGTCTTATTTTGAAGATTTAAAAATTTTCTACCTATGTCAAAAATCATATTTTTTATGATTTGTAGGCTATATAGTAAAATCACTCGTTCTTGTGATAAGTCGTTTAACTAAATTGAAAACGACACAAAGAATGCAGTTTTAGTTATTATTAAATAAAGTAAAATAAAACTCAGCCTTTTTTACTTTCTGCAATTATTAATAAAATGTCGTCTAGAAAAGTAGCCGGAGGCTGTGCATTGTCTGTTCTATTCCTCTCAAAACTTGAGTAACACATTATTGTCATTATGTGGGCGCAAAAACCTACTGTCCTGTGATACTAGAGAAAAGCCAAACATAGCCACAATGCCAAAGGCGCATGACAAGCTGAAACTCGAAGTTAAAAAGTTAAGACTTAACGAACATTGATCATTGCCTATTCAATAGGCAATGATCAATGTTCGTTAATTCAATAGGCAATGTTAATTCAATTCAATAGGCAAAAATCAATGACCATGCAGTCTATTCAGTCGTGTCAAATAATATTCAAATGTTTTTTTTTAGTTTAATAGCATATAACTATTCAATTGTTTTCTAAATATATTTCTTTTATTCAATATTAATCTCTACAGATTCGCCTCAATGTTTCAATAGTATGATTTCTTTCATAATGAAGGCTAATTTAAAAATAACCTTCATTATCTATTGCCATTGACAAAATACAGACATATTTTAAAAACGTTTCGTTTTTGCTATAGTAAAAGCATTAGCTTTCGTTCTTTAGTTTAAAAAAATGTTTTTATGATTGTTTGCATGAATGGTTCCATACCATCGTACAAGATTTAATACTATGTACGCAAAAAAAAAAACACTTCTAGAAGGGGAGCCTCCTTTAATTTTTAATTTATTTTGTTTTTAAAGAACAATGGCAGAAAAATAGTTAACAAAAATTATTGCGTCTAGAAATAAGTTATATATAAAATGAGTTTTATTATTCTTCTATGATTTTTCAATTAAAAATGTATTTTAATTAAAGCCACAGAAAAAAAACAACCATTTTTGGGAATATCAAATGACTTAAATCATTTTACTCTATTCAAGTGTTGCCATTTACTATTTCCATACTATTTTCATATACACTTTGTAAGACTACCAACACAACACATAAACACAAAACATTTTTATATTAAGTTATTATTATTAATAACTAAACTATCAGTAATAATAAAAATAAAAGAGATGGTTGAAAAGAAGTCTCTTAAAAAGAACTTCCTACAATAATACATTATCTCAATCATAGTAATATGTAACAATTCCATTTAATGTTATGGCAACACTAGCTAAAACAAAATGTCACTGTTTTTTTTACTGACTTTACGGCTCTGGGTTCTAGCCCTTCTCAGAATGTCACTGTATGAGAAAGGCTCTGGAGCCATTCCAGAAATATACATTTATAGTATGCAAATATATAATAAAGATAAAATAATCTAAAAACTCTCAATTATGTAGGTAGGGCACATTATGTTGAGAATGTATTAAGCTGACATCAAACAACCACAGCACGCATGACTTTTTCCAAGTGACATAAGACATAACCTAAAAAAGTTCTAATCTAAATATCTTTTTTTGATGCCTTCTCAGGAGTTAATTCTTTGACAGAGTTATTACGGGAGTGACGCTTAACATTTTAAGATATTTTTGATATATAGACGCTACCATTCCTTCTCAACTAATTTTATATATGAAAGTCTGCCATTGTTCTTTGTGTTATAGGTTATAGCGGCAACAGAAATACACATTCTGTGAAAATTTCAACTGTCTACCGATTACGGATCATGAGATAGAGCCCACCTACAGACAGACGGACGGACGGACGGACGGACGGACAGCGGAGGCTTAGTAATAGGGTCCCGTTGGCTAACCTTTGTGTACGGAATCCTAAAATTGACACACGCGTTAAACGAAGATAGATAATAGGAAACTTTCTCTCCCTTAGCTTAATCGTTTTCGTTTAATGGAATTTCAAATTACCATTACAAAAAAGTTTTTACTTCAAAAAGCCAGTGGAACCAGTTGTCGAGTGGCGTGTGTGGATCAGCCACGAGGAGCAGGTGTGGCAAAACGGACTGAACAACCTGATCTGGCCGGATCGAGTTTCAAATCCACGATTCTAAAGAAGTTTTCACTTCAAAAGGAACGTGCATTAAGGCGGGCGCCGTCACTGAGTAATACGGAGGGCAGAAGTATGCATATTCATAAGGCTGGCGAGGCCTGACTAATACGTGTATTAATTCCAGAGTGCTTGGGTGACTGCACCCCCGAGATCATAGTAACCGAGGCCAGGAACTTGAATGTGCGTGAGGCTGGTGAGACTGGTGACGTTGCTGAGGCTGATGGAGATGATGACCCTTTGCGGCTGGGCGCATTGCACGAGCTGGCGCAGTTGCGCCTTCTGGGCAACACCGACGTGCCGCTCTACAGGTATGCAGCCACACGGGAGGGGGGTTACCATGCGTCACATTTTACACCTTTTTCGCAAAGTCTTCTATGTATACCACTAAACGGACTCTGCGGTCTTAATACATTATGCACCAAGTTACTCTCAATTCTCCGTAACTCCTTTAGTCGACTGCGAGCGGCTGAGAACAGTAGTTGTTTGTTTTGTAAACCGCGAACGTTGTTTTTGACAATCTGAACTTATTTTGTTTAATGTTGACTAAAAAACCGATATCATTATTTATGTGCGCACTTTGTCAACGTGATTTGAATTCATTTGAGATAAATATGTAACTTTATTACGTACTGTATTTGTCTAAAAATTTAAAGTTACTGTCGTTAATGAAAATACAATTCTGTGGCATATTTACTGTGCCAGCTACTCGTGCAGTCATGGCGCGAGCGTGCGATGCACATTTTTGTTCCGAACTGCCGCTCTAGTAGTATACATAAAATTCTTTGATATTTGTATTCTTCACTTTGCCCAAAAGAAAAAGGAATTTTATGGCTAAATAATTTAAATTGAAGTAACCTACAACAACCACGATTGAACCATCTTTTAAGAAGACAATGACCATAGATTACATCTAGCATAAATTACAAGACCAATGTTGCCATTCTTGCATCGACCTATCGTTGAACAAATTATTTAAATTTCAGGGACTACCACTATGAAATGCTGAAGACGCAAGGTGTGCGACGTTGCATGACCTTCATCCAAAAGATCTGTTATAACATGTTGCGCAAGGTGTACCTCACGCTGCTCGACCCCGAGGTACGATTTATATACTCTGTCTTTCTTATTCGCCTAATTTTATGGTACTTACTGTATTTTTGATATTTATTTAATAATAATATTAATTTCCTCCAGACCGATTATCGGTTATGGCGGCCAGTCGCAACGGAGACTAGCCATCAGTGCAGGACAGTATTTTAGTGTCCAAGTGTATAGTAATCCGACACGACCGGAGATAGTAGATCAGGCGCAAGACCAACGGCTTTACGTGCTTTACGAGGCACGGGGGTGATACACCGTCAACTTCCTGACTCCGGGCTGCCACTGAGATTACTTGACGGAAAAAATAACTGCTTTTGGCCCGACACGGCATTCAAACCTATAACTTCATGAACAGCAACCGTCTTTACGACCACTAGACTAACAAGGCAGTCAATTTGATATTTATATATGTTTAATAGGAGGCTGAAACGGATCCTTCAAATGAAGACGCCTCAATGGAATCTTTACTCAACACAAAAAGTGATTTCAATGAGAAGACTGAGAATAAACCAGACCAAATTGACGAGAACTCTTACGAACTCCGCAGGTTAGTGGTGTTTGCGATAGATTAGTCAGATTATTGTTTTTTCACTAACTGCAGGGAAACCAATTTTTCTTCCTCAGTGTCTTTAATGCTTACTAGTTGGTGCGTAATAGTCGCAATTAGATTCGTAGTTCATTAAATTTTAGGTTGTATATTAAGCAAGCTGTATTTCACTTTCAACTGCACATTAATATATAAAACACAGATATCTAATTTAAATAATATTATTACGACATTCAGTTGCGTATTGCATCACATTGCACGAGAATGTTCCTCATAATAAGGGTCCGGTAATGTGTAGGCATAAAAATAAATACCTCTCAAATTATTAATGCAAGCAAGACGACGTAATTGTATAATTGCTATGTGTAGAAGAATACATTCATTTATCATACTAATCGGCATTTTTACTAACCCCGCACGTAACAATATAAAATGAACGTTTTTTGCATTGACATACCTCCATATACTTTTGTAAAAGGAATATTTGAAATGAAACAATAATAATAATTCACAGTAGTTATTTGTTGGCAACATTTTAAAATTCTGTCTGTGAGCTTTGTGAGAGACTGGTGTCCATACTAGCGTTATCATTGTGTAAAAGATCACAAGGCCCTCACCCTGACGGATTGCATATATTTGTATTTCCAAATATACTTTAAGAAAACTGTGTGTGCGTGCGTGTGTCAGGTGTGCGCGAATGCGTGAATGCGTGTGTGCGATCGTTCGTGCGTGCGTGCGTGCGTTCGTGCGTTCGTACGTGCTTGCGTTCGTGCATGCGTGCGTGCGTGTTGGCGTGCTCATATAAATCGTGGTTTTATGTGAATTTTGATGCGTAGAAGCGGTGCGATTTTGTCTATTAAATGTATTCCATGTGAACCAACAGTGGAAACGATGTAACAAGTGCCTCGATGGATATAAATCTTAAGTTTTTTTATCCGTTCCTTAATCGTCGTTAAAGTCCGCTGGGTTAATCTTCCGCCAAAATCTCCCAAGAACTTATGTGACGCATAAAAATATATTGAGATGAAATTTGTGAATAAAATTCACATCAGACTAGGCTGTGGCATCGATATATATATACATGTACTACGTACTAGATTGCGCATTCCGAACATACACTATGTTCAACTGAACTGTACTGCAATCCGTACAGTGTCTCATTTAGTGTGGTTTTAATCTACTAGTTAGTCTGTGGTTTCAATATTCATACAGCGTGGAGCGGCGCTAATAATACAAGATTACAAATTAAAGTTTAAACCTGGACGTAAATAACAATTCAGTAGTCAAGTAAGTAAAATTATTTGTTGTTCAAGTGAATAAAAAGGTAATAATATCGCAATATTACAAAAGAAAAAAATAATGAAAAAATATATTTCTTTATATAAACTGACCGCGCAGGCGCAACGCGCTTAAATCAACTGCGCATGCGCGACTTTATTATCTGCAGCGCATGCGCGAAGACGTAGGGTAGTACACAACTTTTGTTTAGAAAGGCTTCTCTAGTACGTAGTACATATAAATCAATGGGCTGTGGTATGAGACCTTTGCCTGCCTTAATTGACAAATCGTAACAAACAACTAGTCAATTTAGTTTTAAATTATGTCTGATGACTTTTTCCAGACTTGGATAGACCTTAAGCTTGATTTGATAAAATATAGTAAATTATTTTATTGATATTTATAATGGTGACATAAGTAGACTTAGTTATTCCATCAACATTTTTTCGCCATTGTTCTTTTATTTAATTTATTACAAAGCAGATAAATCTTTCTGAAAATTGAAAAGAAGAAATGGAAGAGAATAGATAACTTTTCATATTGCCCTCTGAGGCTTTTCTAATTGCAACATGGTCGTTAGGTGCCCGTCCCCAGATGGTAATGCAATATGTCAACAATGTTTGACTTGTGCAAAATAACCATTTTTATTACTTTAAAATCTGCGACACGACGTTGGTTTTTAAAAATATAGATTAACTTACGTATTTTCTTGTACTTAAGAGTTTGTTATCAATAATTACGCCGATATAAACACATCAACAGAATCTAGGAATATTTTATATTTCAACAAATATCCAAAAATCTATGAAGAATTTTCTGATATAGTAAATGGAAGAACGATAGGTTATTTTAAGGCCTTTAATAAAACAAAAAATATTTCGTAATTTTTTGTTTTAAATAAAAATGTGTTTTTTTAACTGCCGTAGAAAATTAGTATGATAAAAAAAAAACTTAATTTCTTCTTATAAAACTATTACTTTTAATTAAAATTGAAAAATCTTATAAAATAGAATTATTAACAATCAGTGTTGCGAGAGTTTACGATAATTACACATCGACATCGATTGTTTATACTTAAAATTAAATTGTAAATATCTTGCTGCGGTATGAGGTCCCATGTTCTTTGCAGGTGTTCGTAAAGTTGTTGTTCTGTCGTCAATTTTGGCGGGAAATCTCTCAAAGCTTTTCGTTGTAACATGACCCAGACCGTGCCATGGCTGCCCGTAGACAGCGACGACCATCCCCGCGTCTACGGGTGCCTCTATAGGTCCCATAGCGGTAATGCCGAAACAGACCGACTCATAGACCACGTCCAAATTGTTACAGATTCCTTGCTACAGCAGATCCCATCCGCAGAGATCGTGATCCTTGGCGATTTTAACGCCCACCACGCCGAATGGCTCGGTTCACGTTTAACCGATCATGCAGGGAGATCTGTTTATGACTGCCTTGGCATATGGTCTCATACAGCTGGTTACTTCTCCTACGTGGATCCTACGTAGACGATCATGTACCTTTCCTGTTGGACCTTCTGCTGACCTCTCATCCGGACGGATATCAGGTTTCCGTCGACGCCTCTCTAGGACCATTGTCTTCGCAGCGTTCCGTCACAGCGTCGTCCATCCGCGGTGTGTGTGCTCCATGCCGGATGTGCGGTTTACACAGCGTTTGATTCGCAAAGCACTCCTCTCCCTGGACGTCAGAAAGTCGAGTGGGCGTGATGGAGTCTCTCCAATTGTGCTGAAGACATGTGGTCCGGAGTTGGCACCGACTTTACCGCGTCTTTTCCGGTAATCCTACTTCCAAGGCGTAGTCCCGAATTCATGGAAGGCAGCTTTGGTCAACCCGATCCCTAAAAAAAGGTGAACTCTCAGACCCGTCCAACTACAGGCCTATTGCCATCACCTCCTTGTTCTCCAAAATAATGGAGTCCATTATAAACTGCCAGGTCATGAGGTACCTTGAGGATCACCAGCTGATTAGTGACCGCCAATACGGATTTCGTCGCGGTCGATCAGCTGGTGATCTTCTGGTCTACCTGATTCATAGATGGGTGGAGGCAGTAGAGTCCAAGGGAGAGGCATTGGCCGTTAGTTTGGACATGCGAAGGCCTTCAATCGGGTCTGGCACAAAGCGCTTCTTTCGAAGCTCCCTTCCTATGGGCTTCCCGAGAAATTGTGCAATAGATCACCAGTTTCCTTGCTGATCGGAAAATCAACGTCGTAGTTGATAGTGCATGCCCTGATTACAAGCCTATCAACGCTGGTGTTCCACAAGGCTGCGTGCTATCACCAACGCTGTTTTTCTGCATATCAGTGATATGTTGCAAGCTGGAAACATTCATTGCTATGCAGGCGACAGCACTGGTGATGCCTTATGTACTGTTTTGCCAATATTTCTCGGGAAAACGGCACCGAGTACCGGGACAAACTTGTGTCTGAAGTCAAGTCTTTGCTAAACAAAGTCTCGAATTGGGGGCGACTAAACCTAGTCCAGTTCAATCCCCAGAAGACACAAGGTTGCGCGTTCACGTTTTAAGGCACTCCCCTTGCTGCCTCAGCTAACATCGAAAACCTCGACGTAGACATATCGAATAGTGTGCAGTTTCTTGGTCACTTGGAAGGGAAGGCCAAATTGGCCTCTAAAAAGCTTAGCGTGCTCAGCAGAACGAGACAGTATTTCTTGCCGGCACATCGCTTGCAACTTTACAAAGCGCAAGTTCGGCTTCACATGGAATATTGTTCTCATCTCTGGGCCGGGGCACCCCAGTGCCAGCTTTTTCCACTTCACCGTATCTAGCGTAGAGCGGTTCGAATGGTCGACGACCGAGTTCTTTCTGATCGACTCGATTCACTGGCGCTGCGTAGGAATGTTGCATCCCTTTGCATTTTACATCGGGAGTGCTCTAAGGAATTGTTATAACTAACTAATAACACATCGCGTCAAAATTCACGATACCATGCTCACCATCTGGATCCTTGGCGGTCCATCACTATGCGTTTTACTAGGAGCTTTCTTCCTCGTACAACTTCTCTGTGGAATTGTTTACCACCTTCAAGAAATGAGCTCATTTCTTGAAGGTGGTACTTCAAGAAATGAGCTTACTCATTTCTAAAGGGCCGGCAACGCACCTGCAATTCCCCTGGTGTCGTGGTTGTTTATGGGCGGCGATAGTCACTTACTATCAGGTGAGCCGCATGATCGTTTGCTCTCTTCTATAAAAAAAAAACTTTTATTTCAAGTTACCTATAATAGGAATATAAAAGTGTCATGATCAGCATTGGAATACTCCGTAACGTAGCAGATGGACTGTAGTTGTGTTTTTAATATGATGATACACTATATGATACTAGACACGTTTTGCTATGGGTAGGGAAGGTGTCGGCAGGTAACATACCTTTAGATGCTAGACAAAGATTTAAGTAATATGAGGAGTAGGGGGTCATGACTATGCATAACAATATTTATATTAATATCGCCAATAATAATTATATATTTATAGTGTGAATACTGATCTAGGGTAAATACTAAGCGATTCAATAAAATTAATTCTTAAGTTGAGGTGGTCTATAAATTACAATGACTATAATGTCCTTACATATTTATAGAAAAATACAAAACAATTGTTTGACCACAGACAATTACATGTTTGCCATTGCCTAGAGCAAGGGTCGGCAACCTTTTGAGTCGAAAGAGTAAAAAATTACAATTTACAAAATTTCAAAGTTTTTAAGGAGCCACAAATTTTTTCTTGCCAGCCATAAATAGTACTTGCATAAATATAGTTTTTTGATTAAAAAAAAACTAATCTATTTATTCATAAGCAAAATATTAGTGTCCGACCGAAACAGAATTTTCAACCGAAACCGAAAACGAACCTTCGGTCTGGGTGTGAGTTTCGGCCGAAACCGAAACTTATTTAGACATGTTAATTTTTTTTATTATATACTGAAATCTGGTATATATTTATACATATAGATACAAATAGGTAATACATGTTAATGAAAAACAGTTATTGTAATACTCATGTAGCAATATATTTATTTATTTTAAAGTAAAAGTCAACAATTTAACGTTAAGAAATATTTTTTAGTCAATTTTGTAGAAAAATCAACATTAACATCCATATAAAATTAGTCGCTAATTGAGAACATATATTTTATTGTGTTAACAATATTGTTAATATTATTCAATGAGAGCATTAACTTAATATATCACACACACACTCACACACAATATACACACAACTTAACAAAATCCCAGAAAATATACAAAAACTGCTCAATGTTCAAAAACTTTAATAAACTAAGTTTGTATAAAAAGGGTTATTATAATATTAAGGAATTTATTGATGATAATAACCCCTGGGAATGACGTGATCACTGCCAAGCTATTTCTAATTTTTTTTGTGTTGTTAATTGTGTTACATACATGATTTTTAAAGGCCTCGCGAGGCCCCCTAAAATGCGATGCCCCCAAACTTTACCACAGATGACTAATTAATTTGATCACTTTCACGCTCGAAAAAAAGTCACAAATTAATGTGTGTTTGTTTGGGGCATCGCAAGAAGGCTTAAATGCGACTACGAGGCCGTTGTAACTACCTTCAAAGACCGCAATTCTTACATTGACGGAATACGAGACTTGTCAGGAATTAATAGATATGACGTAGGTACGAGGGCGACACTCAAAGTTCTAATAAAATCAAAAACTGAACAAACTAGCAAGTTTTTAGTTTTTTTTTATAGGATAGGGTGACAAACGAGCACACAGTCCACCTGATGGTAAGTGGTTGCTGTGAACCATAGACATCCACATCTATCCTCAATAAAGAATCAAAATGCAGATATATATTTATTATATATTTTCAAAATAGTGTCCATTTACATCGATACATCGCTGCATCCGATGGATACCACTGAGAAAAGCACTTTGCCCACTCATCCTTAGGGGGTCTCTTCGACCGCATTTTAAAACGCAGCCACTCCTTCCTCGGAGTCCGTAAAACGTTTTCCTCGAAGTTTTCTTTTATTTCCGGAAAAAATAAAAATAGCAAGGTGCGAGGTCAATGCTATAGGGTGAGTGACCCAGTAATTCCACGTCTGACGTCACCAAGTAGTCGATTGTTTGCTTGGCGGTGTGCGTCGAGGCGTTGTTGTAGTGAAGGAGGATTTTTTTTTCAAGACAAGTGGCAAACAATTGTTAGTGTAACACTCTGCAGTAACTGTTTTTCGATCCTCTAAAACAATAATGACCTGTCCTTTCGAAGAACGGGGCCACCATCTTTTTTCCCACGCTTCGACCTCTCTTCATTATAATTGGCAACTCTTCGGAAGGAAACACCCAGACAGCAGACTGTCTCTTAGTTTCAGGATACCATAACAATAAGCCCAGCTTTCGTCACCCGTAAGTATGTCGAACACAGCATTTGAGTCACCTCCGTTAAATCTCTGAACCATTTCCCGACACCAATCAACACGACTGAGTTTTTGGGCCTCTGTCAAAATTTGAGGTATTCACTAGGTACAAAGCTTCCTGACCGCTAAATGTTCATGGAGGATTTTGTGCACTTAACTCATACCGATGCCTAAGCTTGTCCAAATCTGCTGATAAGTCACTCTTTTGTAAGTCTCTATCATACGTCGCACAACACTGATGTTATCTTCTGTCGTCGCCGTAGAAGGCCGTCTCTCACGCAGATCATCAGTGAGATTAGTGTGACTACGTTTAAACTCATCAAATCGGTTGTAAACAGTGGCACACGATGGGGCTTCATCGTGAAAGGCCAATAATCCAAGTACATTATAACTTGTTGACTTAAATGACATCGAAATTCATAAAAAATCATTGTACGAAAATATTCTCAGCGGTGCCAAGTTGACTGTCGGTATATTGAAGTGCTGAAGTGCTTGTACAGTAGAGCTACGATGGCTATCAGAGTACAGAACTAGAGTACGAAACCTATCCAATTGCAGAAAGGTGTAAGACAGGGTGATGTTATATACCCGAAACTCTTCACCGCTGCATTGGAAGACGTTTTCAAGCTTCTGGACTGGAAAGGATACGGTATTAACATCAATGGCGAGTACAGCACTCACCTTCGATTTGCCGACGATATAGTCCTTATGGCACAATCGCTGGAGGTCCTAAGCACCATGCTTAATGACCTCAATAGTGTCTCCCAACGAATAGGTCTTAGGATGAACACGGACAAAACAAAGATCATGTTTAATGTTCATGTCACACATATGCCGGTATTTGTTGGGAGCACTAAGCCCGAAGTTGTTGACGAGTATGTTTACCTGGGACAAATAGTCCGACTAGGTAAGTCCAACTTCGACCGAGAGGTCAATCGACGGATTCAACTGGACTGGGCAGCGTTCGGGAAACTACGACACATCTTCTCGTCAGACATACCTCAAAACCTTAAAACGAAATTGTACAACCAGTGCGTGTTGCCAGTGATGACTTACGGATCTGAGACGTGGTCCTGCATTGCTGGCCGTATGAGCAAGCTCAAGGTCGCTCAGCGAGCTATGGAGAGGGCTATGTTCGGGGTTTCTCTGCGTGATAAACTTAGAAATGAGGTTATCCGCAGTAGAACCAGAGTAACCGACATAGCCCAACAGATTAGTAAGCTTAAGTTGCAGTGGGCCGGCCATATAGCTCGAAGAACCGATAACCGATAGGGAAGAAAGGTTCTTGAGTGGCAGCCTCGTACCGGTAGGCGAAGTGTAGGTCGACCCCCCACGAGATGGAGTGACGACCTGGTAAGACATGCGGGAAATCGATGGATGCAGGTGGCTCAGGACCGTGCATTGTGGCATTCCTTGGGGGAGGCCTATATTCAGCAGTGGACTTATGAAAGACTGTAATGATGATGATGATGATGAACTCTTTCAACTTGCTTTTTAACTCTGTAAATTTTCAACTCCACAAAGCTTTACTTTTTAAATCGATCAATTGCATTTCTAGAGATCCAGTATCAACTATAAATAGCGCAGTGTGGATCGATTTTTAATTTTTTTTTATAAAATAAATAATATTGGCGTATGAAACTAAAGAGCCGCAGCTTCACATCCAAAGAGCCGCATGTGGCTCGCGAGCCGCAGGTTGCCGACCCCTGGCCTAGAGTAATAACACTTTGTACTTTGAGACTTGTAGTGCGTGACGTTGTCTGTAGGTATGGGTGCCGGTGCCGCGAGAGCGTGGACATGCGGCTGCCGTCGTACCGCAGCCACTTCGTGCTGCTGAGCAGCATGTGCATGGAGGCCGTGCACGACTACCTTGCGCTGCGCCTGGAGGCTCGCCCCGCGCACCCCTCCAGCCTCACCGTCAAGCAGGTCAGTGCCGCATCATCCTGTATCACTGTGTATGCTGCTGGATGCTGAGCACTGAGCAGCATGTGCATGGAGGCCGCACTCGTCTACCTAGCTAAGCTTGTCGAGCAAACCTCGGTCCCCAATATGAGGGTGACGACAAAAACAAGTAATAACTTACTCCAAGGGTTTAAAATACTATACAAATGTGAGTCGCGGGCGCCTCACATGGTAAATATGCCAAGGAAATTAACGACATTTACTGGTTTTAAGCAAATACGAAATAAAGTTACATACTTATTTGGAATATAATCAGGTTGAAAAAGTGCCAACATAAATAATGATAGTGTTCTCTTAGTCGCTTCTTAGTCCTACACAGTTCGTGGTTTACAAAACAAAGAACTAGTCTTCACGGCAGCGCGCAGTCTACTAAAGAGTTATGGAGAATTTCCCGCAACTTAGTGCGCAATGTACTGAGGCTAGCCACTACTGGGCTGTCACTCGAGATTTCTTCGCCATCGGTTGTTGGTTCTTCGAGCTATGGCCGTCATATTGTCACTATAGCTTACTAATCCATTACGCTATGTCGGTACGGTTGATCTACTACGGATATTCTCATTACGAAGTCTATCACACAGAAAAATTTCGACAGCACCTATATACGTCTCAGATCCATATTACATACTCGTACATATGAGTACATGAACTGTCCTTATGAGCTCTTGTTGTATTAAAATCTGCTGGACCTGATACCCTGTCAGCCTCTTTTCTTATTATTTGTGCAGAAATAAATGCACTAAAAATAAGTTTGTTGTTTTGCAAATCGTTACACGAATGTTCAGTTGCTAATCTTTGAAAACGTGCATATTTTTATTAATTAATTATTATTATTATACATATCACCAATGGGATTACAAAATACTCTAGAACAGACGTCACTAATTATAGGCTAGTTTTTAAGTTTTGCATCTAAAACTTTAGAAAAGTTAGCTTATGAGAAGGTTACTAAACCTGTTACCTAAACATAGTTACCTAAAACATAGCTTAATCTCAAAGTCTCAATATGGTTTCCTCAAGAGTAGATCTACTGTATCATATTCGATTCATTTTTGATTAAAGTTGTGGATGAAGTTTATCAAGTTGATGTTGTATATACAGATTTTATTCAGGTTTTCGGACGGATTGAACATCATTTGTTCTTAAAAAAGCTTCAGTATGTTGACTTATGAGGAGTCTTACTGCGGTGACTCTTCTTTTATATCGACAGTCGCTCCTAGGCTGTAGTTGTTAACTGTTATATTTCTGGTCGGGTGTCAACTTCAAGTGGCGTACCGTAGGTTTCCTTGCTGTGACCGTTACTATTTCTTATATTTGTTAACGAAATTAAAAACTGTTTTAAATCATCAGGCCTATTGGGTTTTCTTAATGGTTTGAATGCACAGTGCTCGATTTAAACCCATCTAAATTCCTACTTGTTATATAATATCGAAAGCCAAACGTGGTTAATGTTTACTTAGAATTACAGATGAAAAAATAATTTTTTCAACAAAAAGGTGTGCTGTATTTTCTTATTATTCCGTCCGTCCCGTTTTTTCTTTCGCAATAATTATCCTGGAAATATAAATGAATGACGGTGCAATGCAATGAAGTGGAGCCTATTTGGAATGTATGTTCGCAGCTAATTCACGAGCTAAAGGAAGGTCTGGACATCGCGACTGAGATCCGGTGCGCGTTCGTGCGGTACGCGGCGGCAGCGCTGCGCGGGGAGCGCGGGGAGCGCGGGGGGCGCGCCTGCCTGCTGCAGCTGCTGCGCACCTTCGACAGCACCGTCGCCACCGCGCTGCAGGTATTGCCCGCGCCACACCACCCGCAACTTTGTTTATAAAATTATGCTGACAAGCGACCACATAGCCCTAATGGTAGCTGGATGCTGTGGCCCACACAAATCTACATCTATACTCAATTAAGAGTCAAAATGTAGAAGACTACGATAGAAAGCCTCATTGCTAGTAAAAAGGTTCTCCGATTCTCTACACTCACCATACAAAACACAGCAGCATTAACCTGGTATTACTTAATTAATAGCCAAGACAAGCGACCACATAGCCCTAATGGTAGCTGGATGCTGTGGCCCACACACATCTACATCTATACTCAATTAAGAGTCAAAATGTAGAAGACTACGATAGAAAGCCTCATTGCTAGTAAAAAGGTTCTCCGATTCTCTACACTCACCATACAAAACACAGCAGCATTAACCTGGTATTACTTAATTAATAGCCGCCCTAAAAGCTTTTTAGGGTTCCGTACCCGAAAGGTAAGCAACCGGACCCTATTACTAAGCCTCCACTGTCCGTCCGTCCGTCTGTCTGTCAACGGGCTGTATCTCATGATCCGTAATAGGTAGACAGTCGAAATTTTTAGAATGTGTAATTCTGTTTTCGCTATAACAACAAATAATAAAAAAATATGAAAGAGGCTTCACTACTAGAAGCGTGTTTTTTACCTACTGTTACGGCCCCCAGCTGCCCCGGCAAAGGTCGCCTTGGCTAGGGCCCATAGTAGCCTCCTCGACGAGCAGCCGAGGGTTCGGGCCCAAATGGCCTATGGATAAATGTTCTAAAACGGCTGACAAATAAGCAAGCACAAATTACCGATTTCCGGAGGTAGGGTTGATCACAGGGTACCTGTCAGGTGGTAAGTGATGTGCATGTAAGTAGTATGTAGTAGTGTGTACAATGTGTAACCTGACATCCCCGCTGAAGTTGGACTGCAGATCCACAGGCGCTGCTTCTCTCCAAATGTGAGATCCATCCAGGGGGGCGTTCACCAATTGAAAACTTCTGCTTTTATTTTCACTATATTAGTTTATCAACTTTATTGTACATTTAATTAACTTCAAAGTCAACCAAATCAAAGTTCATCGAAATTAAACCAAGTGACACACGACACAAGTAAAGAACAGTCGGTCAAAGTTCAATATTCAATGTTCCTGGTTCACTTAGCACAAAATTACAAACACAGGTACGAACGCGGTCTCTTCTCGAGTCACAAAGTTCAGCGTTCTCCCAACAAAGCCAAATTAATTCAATATTAACTTACAAAAGCAATTAATCAGCCGACGCGCGACAATATCTTTTCCACACTTTAAGACAAGCCTCGTTATAACGAAACTTACAAATTAAAACAACTCCATAGGAGGCCCGCGCCCGGCCACCCTGCAATAATTCTTTCTAGACTTTTACAATACCGTCCATCGAGCAACAATTATTGGCAATCAGTTAATTTAATCACTCAAAACTCAAATTAGACCTCTTGTCACGTAACACTCAAAACAGACACTCAATTCGAGGCGGTCTTAACCGGACCCAAATATTCAATAGTAAATTCAACAACGACGCGTACAATTATGGACACCAGCCGCGCCCGACCTACCAACGGTCGCAAACAATACTCAATACGGTTACAACAATAATTATATGAGATCAGCCTCGTTATCACGAAAAACAAATAAAGATAACACCGTAGGAGGCACGCGACCGACCGTCGCGCCACAATTTCTTTTCATACTTCCACTCGCCCCGGTGTACGCGCACAATTAATCTATATCCAACATGAAGCGATCTCCTCTCGGGGCACACATTCTTAGCGTTTCAAAACTCAAAAGGGCCTCTTGTCACTTAAAGCACGAAAGACAATCAATAAGAGGCGTTTGTCACGCGGCCGAGCGCTTCGCACGTAACCGTCATACTTTAAAACCAGACTCGTTATCACGAAAAACAAATTAAGATAACATCGTAGGAGGCGTGCGACCGACCGTCGCGCAACAACGTTTTTTCCATACTAGTAGACAAAGCCGCGGCGTGCAAGTCACTGTCTTCAGCCCACACGGCCGAGATTACGGGAAGCGGCACACGGCCGAGATAACGGGAAGCGGCACACGGCCGAGATAACGGGAAGCGGCACACGGCCGAGATAACGGGAAGCGGCACACGGACATTTTATAGTGATTGCGTGTTTAAGTGAATTTTGCAATATTTTTTTTTTAAATTGCTTGTGTGACGAGGAATCTTGCGCGCGTGCCGACTACCCGTTGATTGGTTTTGGGAAGTCATTGTTTAATTGTACCGTCGCGTTAAGAGCCTTTTGTGTGTTGACTCTGTAGTTAGTTTGTGTGTCAACTAGGTTGATTTTAAATTCTTATTGCGGCGTAGTATTTAATATCGAACGAAGGAATTTAGTTGTTGTTTGTAACGCTGAACTTTGTGACTCGTGAAGAGATCGCGTTAGTTCCCTATTTGTAATTTTGTGATAATTGAATCCGGAACCTTGAATATTGAACTTTGAACTACTGTTCGTTACTTGTGTCGGGTATCACGTGTTTGATTTTACGATAACGTTGAATTAGTTGAATTGAAGTTAGTTAAATGTACAAGAAAGTTGATAGATTGAAATAGTGACATGAAGAAAGAAGTTGTCCCTTGGTGACGCCTGTTGGAGTGATGCAGCATTGTGGAGCAGCATGGGACCAGGCCGCTGCCCGGTCACCTCAGCTGGGCCAGGTCACATAAATAAACACTACCAACCCACCACTTTACATGCACATCACTTATCACCTTCACCTACCTACGGCCTGACCGAGCCTTGGTGCGGTCTTAATGTCGGATCCAGGTACGTACTATTTATTTACCTAGCCTTCTCCCTATTGTGTAGTATGATAGGTCAATTGTCCATATGGCCATTTGGGCCCGAACCCTCGGCTGCTCGTCGAGGAGGCTACTATGGGCCCTAGCCAGGGCGACCTTCGCAGAGGCAGCTGGGGGCCGTAACATAGATTAATCCGGTCAAATGCCTTATTCTAATCTGTGTATATCATATCTATTTGATGGCCTTTATCCATGGAGTCAGTAGATCTTCCGAGGAGAAAACCGTGCTGGGAGTCGTAAAGTGATTGTCTAATAGCTGAGTATTCTTGAGAATGCACTACTTTTTCGGGGACTTCACTTGTATGCATACATTTAAAATAGGTCTGTAGTTTAATTAATAGAATCAGGCGTTACTTTGCGGAAATCCATTATATAAAAGCTTTTAGAAAAATTTACTTCGCAAATGTCCGCGTTATAAAATAAAATGATGTCTTACCTAGTATGAAGAGCACCTCCGGCCCTCCCTCAATTGCGTGCACTATCCCCGTCACCACTAATCCCAGCACCGCTACTCTCAACATTGCGTCATCGGTCTGTATAAAAGGCACTTGTTTTGGCTTGCTGCTCACTTAGCGATTAGCCACCGTAGAGTCTATATCACCTGAGGATGCCTCGTGTAGAGGCGAAACACGTGTCATATTATCGTCAGTGGTGTGTCTTGCCTAGCGTAGTGGTGTTGGGAGTAGCGGTGCTGGGATTAGTGGTGACGGGGATAGTGCACGCAATTGAGGGAGGGCGGGGGGTGCTCTTCATACTAGGTAAGACACATCATTTTATTTTATAACGCGGATGTTTGCGAAGTAAATTTTTCTAAAAGCTTTTAAGGTCTGTAGTTATCAATCTCAACTCTAGATCCCTTTTTATGTAATGAAGTGATGAAGGCCGATTTCCAGATATCAGGGACTGTAAATTTCGCTAGAGACTTATTAAATAGGAGGATTACAGGTGTTACCGTTTACACGCATTACAGTGGTCTTACGAAATTTATCAAAAACACTGCAGGCAGGTGATTTGGGTCTGCGGATTTACATGGGTCAAGTTTGAGCAAGAGAGTAGGGATAGCTTGTTCCCTGACGTAGATTTTGGAAAGGATGGATTGTCAACATGGACAGAATCAGTGATTAGCTGTGTACTGTTAGCATCCAAGAATTTAGAACTGAAGTACTCTAATTAATTTATAGGCACAGAGCACGAAATAAGTATACGTAAGAAAGATATATAAATAAATAAATAATGTTAAATAATCAAGAGTGTGCGATCGAGCGAAAAGACGTTAAGCGGCACAAATAGACGGTATGCCGAGTGCCAGTTTGAGCGTAAGTACAATAGGGAAGGCACCTAGGTCCGAATTGCGTAACATTTTTAGATTATTGCAATAGCTAGTGATGCTGATATTATTAAGTAGTACAAACCTAAGGATTTAAAGTTGATTAGGCAATTTTCGTTAAATCACTTTCTTTTTGTACAATAATAGTATGACTGGTATCGTTTTTGCGCACATGGATTTTGCCGAACTTCACTCACACATAGCTGTAATCTCTTTCTTTAGCTAATGTTTTCACCTTTGTAAGCAGTGATTTAAAGTGCGGTTTTTAGTGTTCGTTTACAAAAACGCGGTTTCTGCTTCCTATAAATCCTATATCTTCAACATAAAATTCCTTCTTAAGAAGGAATAGTATTTTCTGGAAGAAAGAGTGCTGAAAGCTGCTGACTGAATCCAAGGGTCCGTTGCCCTATCCCGAGTTTCCCTACCTTCAACACACCCGTTCTCTCTTGTGTCCCATTAACACCATGTCCCAGTCTCCCATTAACACCGTATAGTGGGTTTTGGAGGAATGCATGGCTATAGTGATATCCTCATACATTTTTTTTACCTTCTCATCGGAATGAGCCGAAGTTTGTGCGAAAACCTGTATGACCGACCGACGACCGACGAATACCGTTTGGTGATTTTGAGTATAAGATACGCAACAGTTGTCGACACACTTAACTTTACAATGTTGTTAACGAAGGACCTGTAGACGATAAATTTGAGATTTGGACAGATGGTCACCCTACCAGTGAGAGAACACGTTGTCGGATTCGAGGATTACCGTGTCTTCCCCCTCTTCAAACCTCACATAATCCTATAATATTCCAGTGCAACTCGTCTATCTCTTCTTTCAGCTCCAGGATCTTGTCAGTCCTTAGAGTTTTACCATGGTCACCAGCGTAGTTAGGAATAGCGTGGCAACCGATGACTGGGGGCCATTTATTTGTATCGTTGCTCATGGTTATTGGGATAACCCTCCGCCTTTCCATGGCCCCACCAACCTCGCGGCTATACGGGTCGAATCCGAGAGATGCACACGGTACTTGTGGTGGGCTCCTTCCTGCGTGTACTTTCTTTACTCTACAGATTATTTACTCTCCTCCTTGTCCCTCTATGCCAAACTCCCTTTCTGGGCTGCACAAACACAACGTCTTCGGTTCCAGGCGGATCTTGCATGCTCTCTTGCCTCTCCATAGCTGTTCTCCGCGTATGCCATTCATACGCAAACTTCCGCAGCCGTCCAAAGTTCTCTCCTTTGTGAACAAGTTCCGGGTAGTAAACGGAAATGACCTTTCCGCGTACTTTGCTCATGGTTATAATATGGTAATGTAACTGAACCGTGTGTCGCGCAGCAATATCTGTCGTACCTGAGCACGATGTCGGAGACGGAGTCGCTGCCGCGCGCCGCGCTGGCCGCCGAGTGGGCCTTCACCGCGCGCCTCGCCGCCCGCGCGCCCCGCGTCTCCGCGCGCGCGCCCGCCGCCTTCGTGTACGTACACGCGCATGCGCACACCTACACGCACACGTGTACGTACGCGCATACGCACACGTCTACGTACGCACGCACACGTGTACGTACACGCATACGCACACGTACACATGCACACGCACACATCTACGTACACACGCGCACGTCTACGTACACACGCACACATGTACACGCACTCGCGCACACAACACATGTACGTATTTACGCACACGCGCACATGCACACGCGCTGACGCACACTTGTATGTACATATGCACACGCACACATGGAAACACTCACGCACACGTGTACGTACACACTCACACTCGTACATGCGCACAAGCCTTCCGTTCCATCGCACGCCTGCGTGTTTGTGTTATGTGATTAAATTAATCATAATTAAATTAATATTGCAGTGACATCGCCTGCAAACAATTACAGCGGCTGGTGCAACGTTTTGACGAAAAGTTCGCCAGCCTCATGGAAGTCGAGGTTCCTAACGATAAAGAAGAATCGAGGTGGGTCTTGTGTTTTTATAATATTAGCTAACGTTAAACTACAGATTCTAATACTTGTATTAAAATGAAAAAATGAATGTACTTTATATTGTTATTTGGAGGCTTTAGACTTGCTTGTATGACACTTAAGAGAAGCAAAGAACATATTTGTCTAATGGTTTATTATCATAGAGCAACACAGGCCACGGATAGATATCTCGTGTAAGTTTGTATTCGTCACATTTGTTTCTTTTGTGCCCTGAAGAAGAAAATAATTTTACTTAAATTTCATATAAGCAACCGTAGATAGCTTAGTAACAGATATGAGGTTCACGCCCTTTACAATAATTTTACCAATGCATTTGATGAAGTTGACCGTGGATTATTAATACAGAAACTTTGCCACGACGAAAATTGCGGTTTAGTAGTAAGATGGTGTGAATTTTTAAAATCGTCCTCAACACGTTACGGTTCATGCATATTAAGAGGGTGACACTGAAAGTTTTTGGAACTCGCCACTTCTAAACGATATAATAAAAAAATAAGTTCAAATTTTGAAAATGGAACTCTTTTCCAATATCATTGTGTAAGTATTTAATTAATTTGTCATTTGTTTACGATTTGGCGGCAAATTGAAAATTGTCTGTGTCACGTCAACATGAATTTAACGCGAGAAAATTTTTGTACAATGATTTTTTATGACTTTCGATGTCATAAGTCAACAAGAAAGTTATGATAGACTTCAAATGGCCTTTCACGATTAAGCCCCATCTCATGCTACTGTTTACAACTGGTTTAATGAGTTTAAATGTGGTCGTACTAATCTCACCGATGATCTGTATGAGGGATGGCATTCTACGGCGACGACTGAAGAAAACATCGGTGTTGTGCGGCGTATGATACAGACTGACAAAGAGTGACTTATCAGCAGATTCAGACAAGATAGGCATCGGTATGAGTCAAGTGCACTGTACACGCCCCTAGCTGCCCCAATCAAGGATGACGGGAGTAGGGCCCATGAGTAATCCCATCGACGAGCAGCAGAGGGACGGGGCTAGAATATGGCCACGTGGGATTCCTAATTACAATAAACAATATGGGAGGAAGCTAGAAACACATAGTACTTACCATTCCGAAGCTAACTTCGCACCAAGGCTTGGGCAGGCCGTGAGTGTGTGTAATAGTGGATGGCGAGTAGTGTACAGTGAGGTGTGAATGTGTGGGACCAGCAGCGGCTGAGTTCCAGGCTGCTCCAAAATGCTGCACCGCTTCAGACTGCTTCGGCGCCGGACCACTTATTCGTTCGTCACGATGACAGTCCATTAACTCTATCGTACGATTAACTAACTTACAGAAGCCACTAACTCTCGTTTGTTATAAGGTTAACGCACAAAACGAACACGGAGTGTCCGGATCAAAGGTCACTACCGTTTCGCGTAGCAACAGTTATTTCTAGAATATCAAAGGCCGCACTAGCTAATATTGTCGAATGCACTTATACAGATTCTGAGTCGGACCCAATAAGTCCCGGGAAAGGCTATCCAACAAGGAATTCGCGTTATAAATCCTAGACAGGATGTTTACTAGACGTCTAAACTATTCCGCGGTTCCCGAACAAAAATGACAGAGTGCTAACGTTAGCACAGCTGGCAAACGACTGGCTGCGCTTGTGCGTTCTACGCACGACCGAATGTCAAACCGGTATGGCACCGAGCCGCGCGCCCTCGCGTTTGTTCCTGAAATTAGCGTTTGGCGCGAACAAACGCCCGTCCCGGACATAAGGACCTATGTCCGCGAGCAAACCGGCAAGCGGGACAGGGTCGCGACGGCAAGTTGCAAGACCGAATCTACACCCAAACTAGACCACCTTAGGCACCCCATCAGATCTTGCAACCCTAACCAACGCCTCAAAATTACAGCCCCAACGTGGGCAAGCCGGAGGGTTGAACTGGATGCCCTTCCTGGACATCGCAGCCCATAAATAAGTCCTATTCCTAGACAGAAGTCCGACGACCTCCTTCAAACACCTATCTGTGCTCCTATGATTAGTTCTGCAATCCGACCGGATCAGGTCTGCAAACAGCGACGCGACACGAAGCGGCCCAGTGACCTCCTAAGCTTCAGTGCAGAGAGCACCCCCAAATTCCCCATGAACTTCGTCTGTGGAGAGCCGAACGAACGCACAGATAGTTCCTAGTATGAATTTTCAAACAAGTAGGCATAGCCAGGCCATCCACCATATAATCATTTACCAAATGGTGCGACAGTTGATTTCCATCTGATAATCTACAACTAGCCAGCCTGTTAGGCAAGTAGTCCTATGCTCATATTTCAACTAATTTTTCAAAGCATCAATGTTCAACTACAGAATCAATTCAACCAAATTAATCACCGATGCACATAGGTCAACTTGACAAATTAAACAAAACAATAGACGCAAGAGACAGCCCTATTTCTCATTTAAATAACTTAGACAGTGCCAACAAAATGTAAACCAAAAGAGGATTGGCTTTTATTTGCTTCGGCACAAATAGGGTTATCTAATTTCAGCCTTCCTTTTCACAAAGCAAAATGATTAAACACTTTCACAAAACATATACATAATTTTCCAAATAGCGCGACATTCAATTTCAAATGAATTCAAACTTTCTTTTCAGCAAACAGACGCAACAATCAAACACAATGATTAAATATATTTACAAAACATATGCAGCAGCATTTAAAGGAGTAGATTAAATTCAATTCTTTTAATCACAACCGCTAGAAATATGGAAATTTCGCGGAAAACCCAAAAGCATTTTTAATTTTAATTTAAAGAATTTTAACTAAGTGCTCGACCAAACCAAATCTAATATTCCTTGACAGCGTGATTCAACGCTCCAGGGGGGCCCCAATCTTCCCACCACCAAGTGGAGGCCACACGGCGTGAACCCGAGACCAATAGAGCGCGAACCGCTAACAGTCGCCACTCTGGTTGTACGCCTTCACTGAGGCCGTCGGCAACAGAACATTTTGACAAGTGGACTGTTGACGGCTTAAGGCTCAATGGAGGCGGCCGTGGTGGGAGCTAAGGCGGCAGCTAGCCAGGGCCGCCTCCATCAAATGGGGAACAGTGGTACACCAGTCGCGGCCACTCAGCTAACGGAAGTGAGAAGGGTCCAGCGGACCGATGAGTGGCCGTGAAGTTCCTCTCCACTCGCTAAGGGGGAGGTGACGACACCCCCGCTCCTGGGGGAATTACCCCCCGACTGGTCGGGGGAGGGACCCCTTTCAAACTTAGGGGCCTGGTCGCTGGCCGGCGGGCGCCGAGAGTCGCCCGGCAGAGGGCGTGGCTGAGCGCCCCCGCCCGTGGGGGTCGAGGGCCTGGCAGAGCCCCGAGAGGAGACGCCGTTCGCACCCAGGCACAAAACTGCATGATGATTGCCCTGGAAATGCAGACAGGGCCGCCGATGGAGGTGCCCTTCCAAACATGAGCAGCACCAGCGGCGCTCCTTGCCGATAGTTCGCCTCGCTGGAACCGGCTTACCTAATAATTTTGGGCACGACGTTACCCGGTGATCAGACGCTCGACAATAGGAGCAGGGGGGGGGGGGGGAGGGGGTTGACGACGACTTGCCTGGCGGATTCAGCCGCCTCAACGTATTACAGGCCACCAAGACTGGATCCAACAGTTCCGGACGTAGTCGGGCCTGGTCACTAAGCAGCGGGAGGCTTAGAAGCTGCTTAACATGCTCGTCCGCAATTCGCCGGACGTTGGCGTATCTTCTGACTAGGAGGTCCCGAGCAGTCTGGTAGGCGTCGTCCGACAATCTCAAGTGGCCGACGACACCCAGGGCCTCCCCCTCCAGTGAGGCCAGGAGGTACGCCATCTTTTGGCTCGGGGTCAAGTCACTCCGGGCGTCCACGAGGCTGTCGAAAAGACCAACGAAGGTCAGCCATTCGGAAAGGACCCCGGAGAACTGGCAGGTCCAGAGTTGGGAGTCGTCCCAACAGCTCCGGCTGAAGCTGCTTCCGAGAGGACTCGGGCAGGCCACTCATCCGAGCTTCACGCGCCTCCTCGGCATACCTGCCTTCAGCCTCGATCAACTCGTCCGTGAGCGAAAAGAACTGCTCATAGTCCGCAAAGCGTTTGGCGCGAACATGCACAAAATCCTTCATGAACAGCCTTGGCTGACGCATCAACGTCTCGGAATGTAAACACCAGCGCACTTAAAAAGAAGTATAACTCCGCCTCCAGGTCCTTCAAAAGCGTCATTGCCAAGGCAAGGTCTGAGCACATTGGCAGAATTGGCGAGAAGCTAGTTCGCCTTCCTTCGGGAACCCGTGCATTCTGATCTCTTGCCAAGGCTGTCCAAGGGAACTTCTGTCAGCCATCTCTTCCATCTCTGCACAGAGAGGACGACTCACTGGCCCATGCCGCAAAGGAGAAAGCCGATCTGTTGAGCTCTCTTTTTGCGTCCAACTCGACTCTAGACGACGGGGGGAACACACCGCCGACCATCCCGCGATGTGAGTGCTCCATGCCGGATGTGCGGTTTACACAGCGCTCAACTGACACCAAGTAGACTTTGACTACATAGCCCAACATGTTTTTTTTTTATAGGAGAGGGGGCAAACGAGCATGCGGCTCACCTGATGGTAAGTGACTACCGCCGCCCATGAACAACCGCAACACCAGAGGAATCGCAGATGCGTTGCCGGCCTTTTAAAAAGGAGTAGGCTCTTTTCTTGAAGGTCTTTAAGTCGTATCGGTCCGGAAAATCGCTGGTGGTAACCTATTCCACAAGGAAGTTGTGCGAGGAAGAAAACATCTTCTAAATCGCACAGTGGTGGACCGCCAATCGTCCAGATGGTGTGGATGGTATCGGGAGTTCTGCCGCGATGTGCGTTCGTGAAATTTGGCGGCTGGGATTAATCCGAACAATTCCTCAGAGCACTCCCCATGGTAAACGTGAAAGAAAATGCTAAGAGATGCAACATCTCTTCGCAGTGCCAATGAGTCGAGCCGATCGGAAAGGACT